CTCGGGCGTGGTGCGGATGAAAGCCCTGGCTCGGAGTTATGTTTGGTGGCCAGGCCTCGATCAGGACATCGAGGGACAGGTGAAACAATGCCAGACCTGCAAGGCCTCCCGGCCGGCACCGCCCAGAGTGCCCGCACGGGCTTGGGAGTCCTCCCACAAACCCTGGTCCCAGTTACACTTGGACTTTGCGGGACTGTTCCAGGGACAAATCTTTTTCATCCTGGTCGACGCCTACAGTTTGTGGCTGGAGGTGGTGCCTGTGCCGTCAACCTCCTCCAAGGCGGCCATCAGAGCGATGCGGCACATCTTCAGCGCCCAAGGCCTTCCGGATACCCTGGTGACGGACAACGGAACGGCTTTTACCTCCAGCGAGTTCCAGGACTTCACGAGGTACTGCGGAATCCGCCACGCGAGGTCAGCGCCGACGGGCAGGCGGAGTGCATGGTGCGCACCACTAAAGAAGCGCTTCGCAGGTTCGACAATAAGGACTGGGACTATAAGTTGGCGGTGTTCCTGTTTGGTCAACGTACGACCCCCCACACGGAGACGGGGCGCAGCCCGGCGGAGCTCCTGTTAGGTCGCCGCCTGACCTCCAGGCTGGACCGGCTACATCCAGACCAGGCCCCCGAGGAGGAACCGACCACGGAGTCACACGCAGCCGCCAGGGGTTTCTTCCCAGAAGACCCAGTCTACGCCCGGAACTACGCGCAAGGGCCACCCTGGATCCCCGCTCGAGTCGTACGCGTACGAGGACCTCGATCCTACGAGGTCTCCTGCGAGGATGGCCAACTGCTCCACCACCACATCGACCAACTGCGGCGCCGGGTCCTCCCAAACAATCCCGAGGACCTGGAGTTGACGGAATCAGACGACGCGACGGCCCACACGCCAGAGCCGCCGGCCCCAGCCCCCGTTCCTGTCCAGGTCACACCAGAACCCCCGGTGCTGCCGCCACCGGAGTCGTCACAACCAACCTCCCCACCACGGGCCCCCGTGGCAACCCCGAACACCACCCCGGAACGCCGTCGTTCCACAAGGACCCGGAAGGCCCCAGCGTACCTCCAGGACTTTGTGTGTGGGTAGTCTGGACTATGGGGGGAGGGATGTAATGTACTCCGCCATTACCACGTGCGCGACCGTTGGGCCATGCGGTCAAGCACAAGCCTAAAGCTTCGTACATTTAGAACAATAGCCAAGCGGATCCTAGCCCGCACCAATCAGAGGGCCAGGTCCGCAGCCGAGAGCCTATGGGACTCTCGGCTTCTGTAAATAACCTATAGGGTGAATAGGACTGTGTTTTGGTGGTGGGTTTCTGTGCATATATACCGGCCTGCGCGCCGGCTTACTTTGTCTTGTTCCTGATTGAATAAAGTACTCTTGCTGAAATCACTCCACGTTTCCGAGTACTTTTCAGGGGTTCCATCACATCCCTTCTAACCTGTCCCTCCTGAATTCTGTAGCTGCCTCCCTCTCTCTGGGATATGGTGGAATGAATTCCAGGGCAGTCCTCCTCGACCCTTGGCAGACCTCCCTCTTATATCCTTCCCCACTCCCAGCCCCTCCTCCCTGGATTCCCCGTGCCCTTCCTCTCTTAGCCCGGCCCTCCTTGCAGCTGTAGACACTGTGGTCATGTCGCCGGCATGACTAAACACCAAGGCACACGGAACGCTGTTATCTTCCCACTGAAGTGGTACCTATTTATCTACTTGCAATTTCTTGCTTTCGAACTGCTAGGTTGGCAGGAGCTGGAACTAGAGACGGGAGCTCACTCCGTCATGCGGCAACTCAGGTCTTGAACTGCTGAACTACCTACCTTCCACATCCTGCAGTTCAGCGTCTTAACCACTTGAGCCACCACAGCTCAATAATAATCCTAATAGGATTAGGATGGCAGAAATTTAAACCAAGTGAAAATCTTGAATGGACTAACGTGGCATTTCAAACAATGCAAAAATTACATAATAGGATAATACATACAGCAACAGCTGGTACAGTGCACAGTTGTATAGGCCACAGTCTCTTTTCCTTTATTAAAGCATTCTTCTTGAACTATAAAGCCCTATTACTTTTGTAAAAATGCCCTCCTGAGTACTTCAGTTTTTCATAATTTGCAAAATGTCAGGAGAATGGCAGCCTTCCTGACCTCATCAGGCAGGCCATTCCAAAAGGTGGGGACCACATCAGAGAAAGCATGTGTATAGGTGGGTGTTGATTTTGCCCATTTTCTGTGTATCACCTGCAGAAGGCCCTGCTCAGTGAGAAAAGCTGTTGTAGCTGTACGTAGGGGGATAAGTGTTCCCACAGATATGAGGGTCCAAGGCCATAATGGGCTTTGTATGTGATAGCCAGTACCTTGAGTTGAATCTAGTAACTGATGGAGTAATTGCAGAATGGGTGTGATATGCATGATCTGCCTAGCTCCATCCTGATGATAACCAAGTTGCAGTATTCTATATCAGCTAGGGTTACCATATTTTGAAAGGCAAAAAAGAGCACATATTTCCTAACTGACTACTTCAAACAAGTGATCACTATGACAAATCTCATTTTAAATACCCCTACTATTTAAGCTGTGATAATGGCTACTAACTAGGAATATTCCTAACCTTCCAACCAAAAGAGTTGTTTTTTTAAAGAGCCAAAACAGGATGGACACCAAAAAAGAGAACATGTCCTCTAAAAAGACAACATCTGGTAACCCTCCAAGTTGACTTCAATGGTACGCCCATGGATCCAGGTGGCCAGATCATCGGAGCCAAGGTAGGGGCCATCTTGAGGGCTAAATTAAGTTTGTAGAAAGCATTTTTTCCCAGCTACATTAACTTGTTCTCCAGCAGTAATCTCTCCAGCAGTTGGATTTGGTATAACACCTAAACTCTTGATAGAGTCAAGTGAGTGTCACTGAATGCTTCCTTCAAGAGCTGTGCCTTCCCAATCATATCACCTCTGCCTTGTCAGGATTTAGTTTAGTTTCAATTTGTTCACTCTCAGCTATTTAGCTGCAGCAGGAGAAGGCTGTAACTAAATGGGCCTCTTTCTGAAAAGCTTCAAAGTAAGGAACTGTTAGAAAACAAGACTTCTCCAAGGAATCTGGGATGGCCTTAATTGCTGAACAACCTTGCTTCAAAGAGAGCTTTTTGAACTTTTGAACCAGGGCCCCTCTAGCTGACCCTTTAATAGCAGTTTGATCTGCAGCAATTAGGGAGTGATAACGTTTGGCTTTGTGCCATAAAAGGCTTCACTAGCTGATTCCTGCATAGAAAACCCCTGTGAAAGGGTAAGCTAGGAGGCAGGCTAGGTGCAGATAGGTGGAGGCAGGGAGCGCCTGTTAGTTTGCAAAACATTTCATAGAACTGATGCAGCTTCTTAGAATTATACTGTGTTATATTTATGCTTTATGCTTCTCCCAAGATGCTCAGCCAGTCTCCTTTCTAAACATAGCTCAAGGCGAGGCACTCCCACCCCACACTTAGCTTTAGCAGCTGAATTCTATATGAGCCTCATATCCCATTTTGGTTTGGAACTGTGTACAGCAAACTCAAGCCCAGTTCACATCTGTAGGGGGACTGAGGTGGCAGAGACCTGACAACAAGCAGCACAGCAAGCTAATGAGTGGGGTAATAACCTTGGTGGTGTTGGAAAGTGCCACAACTGACATCCAGTGAGTGACCCTGTAGGGTTTTCAAGGGAAGAGATGAACAGAGGTGGTTTTGCCATTGCCTGCCTCTGTGAAGCAACCCTGGACTTCCTTGGTGGTCTCCCTTCCAAGTACTATGCGGGGCCCACCCTGCTTCGCTTCCAAGATCTGGTGCAATTAGGCTAGCCTGGACCATCCAAGTCCCAGCTTCTCAAATGCAAGGTCATAGTCCAAGCAGAAATCTTCCACCTGCAGTCTTAAAATGACACAGAATATTCTGCCCTCTCCACATTCTGTCTCCTTATCCCCCCAAAATACGTGATATAGGCCTCAAGAGTCATTTGACAACTCATGCTGAATGAGGGAGCAAAGTTCTAGTCTGTACCACCTCCCATTGCAGAACATTCCGAAACTGAAAAAGAGAGACGTTACAGCTGCAACCTGAAGTGATATGATCCAGAATTCCACCATTTTCCTACCCTCATGCCTCTGCCTTCAATAATGCCCTCTTGCTTTGTGCGTCAAGCAGGGCCGGCTCACCCACTAGGCGAACTAGGCATTCACCTAGTGTGCTGGGCCCTGGATGGGGCGCCGAGCTGTGCCTCCCCCCCGCCGCCAAAAGCCCACAAGCAGCTCTCCAAGTGTCAGCACTTTGCTAATTGGGGAGAGGCATCCAGTGAGCATCCCCCGCCTGGAGACAGGATCCCCCCCCCACCTCCCTCCCAAACTGCCTTCGGAAGCGGAGCACGAGAGAAATCTCTCTTCCATCTTGGAGGGAGCTGCATGAACATGTGGGGCATGCTCGCTGGGTCTGACAGCTGTGGGGGGAGGCAGTGGCAGCGGTGGTAGCAAAAGGGTGGCTGGCTCCAAAGGTCTCCAGGCCCCACCGGGAGATTGGCATCTGCACCACAAGGCAGCCTCGCCTAGGGCACAGAAACACCTCGAGCCAGAACCAGCTCCTTCCTTTCTAAGGAGGGACATGAGGAAGGCTACACTGCTGCATTCTGGACTTTTCTGCTCCTTGGGAAAGCCAAATTTCCAGCCACACCTGATCCTCCTGCAGCTTCCATCTCCCATCCAGCCACACCAGATTCTTTCAGGGCTGACAATGAGACAGTTGTGCTCCATGCCATGAAGTAAACAGTGCTTTTTAAAACAGGACTTTCTTAAGTAGGACGAGGAACAGTGCTTTCGTAAACAGGACTTTCTTAAGTGGGAGGAGACAGAAGAGAAAACCTCTCTCCACCCTGTAATCTGATTCCCAGGAAAACGTCCCATGAAAGCCAAGTGAACTTAAGACTCTGACATATGTATTTTATCTTCCCCTCTGGGATAGTTGTTCCTTTCTCTTCCTTGCCGGCATTAGAAATGTATGCTTTCCTAGGGTTGATGGTTTCCCTACTGGCCCTTGGAGCTTGTGCCCCATTGCAAGGAACAAGCACCCGCAAGAAACTCCTGCTGGTTTCCTTTGACGGTTTCCGCTGGAACTATGACCAGGATGTGGACACCCCCAACCTGGATTCCATGGCAAGAGATGGGGTGAAGGCACGTTACATGACTCCTCCATTTGTTACCCAGACAAGCCCATGTCACTTCAGCCTTCTGACAGGTGAGTCCATGGCATTAAAGGAAGAGAGGTGATGGGTGATGGCCACGAGCTTCAGAAAATACACTTTGCCTTACCATTCACTTCAGTGGGGTGGAATGTGGAATGAGGAGAGACCCACCCACCCCCTCCTGATTCAAATACTAGCCAGGACCCTCCAATGCTACATCTATCCATCATCAGTAGAGTTTCCCCATTTCCAATTTAAGATGAATTACAGAGATTTTAAGATGAGGCTGGTGATTTGCTAGAACATTTCTAGTCATCAAGTTGGGAAAACATGTTGATCTAGAACAGGGCTCACCCACTTTCTGTTTTCTGGAGGAGATGTATGGAGGAGTAATGGGAAAGGTCCTGACCTGCTCCACCTTCCCCTGTTCTTTTCTGTCCTAGAAGCAGAACATGGGCTGGGAAGAGCACCAGGAATGAAGCTATCAGTGAAGCAACACAGAGAAAATCCTATGAAATAAAAGCTTTAAAAAATCTAGAGCAGATTTAATCACAGTCTTTCCTGGGCCTTCTAGGGAATGCACAAGCTACTCATGAGCTACTGGCAAGCAGCCGGTAGCTCATGAGCTACCTGTTGGAGACCCCTGATCTAGAAAATGAGGCTAGATGTTGTCCATGAATGCCACTCTATCCAGCCTCCCATGTCCTTAATCTGTAATCAAGAGGTGGTGAGCATTTGGCTCCAGTTTTGTTTTTTCAGAATCTGCATGTGTTGTGTAATTGTGTTGCTATTTAATGTTCCTCCTGGGAAGGCAAAAGAACAGGGCTCTGCTAGTCACCAGTCCTTGCTATGTAGAACTGCTGCATATCCAAACAAAGCTTCAGGAAAAGGAAGGGAAAGTCAATTATTTCCTCATATCCAGAAGAAATTTCTATAACTCCATCACTAAGTTCAAGAATCTATGGCCCCGTTCACACGGCGAATTTGCCGCGGGAGAGCCACGGATGCCAGGCGGATTATCCATGCGTGATCACACCGCCACATCTGGCAAGTGTAGCACACCTGTGTCTTCCTGTTGAAAACCCACAGTTAAAAAAACCCTGCTAAGAAGTACTAGCAACCAGTTTGCCGCGGGCTGCTGACGGACTTGGTTGGTGTGATCGTGCCAGCGCGTGGCTCTTCCCTCCAGCTGTCGTCTTTGCCACAGTCGCTGACTGCCGAAACCCCGCTGCACTGCTGTCATGTCTGATCACTTAATCGCGGATCAAACTGCGACAGCGCAAATATCCACGCCTCCCCACACGCATTATCCGGCCTGTGTGACCAGGGCCTGTGTATATTTTAGTGCTCATGAACTGTTAGCATAGAAAAGTTAAATCAGAACAGGGTATTTTTTTCAAAGCGTCCAGAAGCTTTTTATCTATTAATAAGGGCAACCCAGGTTCCTTAAGTTAGCCTATACCACTTGTAACCTTTAGCAACCTTGAAAAATCCACCCAGTGCCAGGGACATTTTTGGGTTTGCAGAGTGGTCCTTCGAAAGTGGGAAGCAAGTGACACATGGGGATGATTGTTTCATATCCCAGAGATCAGATAAATGAATGAACATCCACCATTCCCACTGCCAAACAACCTGTAACTAATTCCAGGCTTACCTCTTGCAGGGAAGTATATTGAGAACCATGGGGTGATTCATAACATGTGGTTCAATACCAGCACTGGGCAGAAGCTTCCTTATTACTACACACAGAGGGTGTCTTCCTGGTGGGACAATGGCAGCCTCCCTATTTGGATCACAGCACAAAGGCAGGTAAGTGAGACAGAACTCAGCAACCCGAAGATGTTTGCAGTTTCCATTCAAAAATACCTCTATGTGCTCCTGGATGTAATGTTGCATCCTGCTGTATAATATCCCCCCCATATTAGGGAGGGGTAGAGTTACTAAGAAAGGGAAGCATGGATAGCACCAGGAACAGAAGCAGATCCAAGCAGCCTGGCTTACAACAAGTAATGCTAAGCTCCATCTACACACAGGAGCTTAGCAAACAATTTAAAAAATATGTAAAATAAATAATGTTTTAATCTTTTTTAAAAAATGGCAGATGATTTTGACATGTATGCATACAGAGGCCATGTGTGTGACGTAGCACTTTGGGATAGTTGGGAGATATTTATGTTTGCATTCTGCAATACAGTTATTCCTCCCCACCCTGTAAAATGTGGCTCAGAAGAAGACAAGCCAGCCAGCATGGGATGGGGGAGAAGAGGCATATTTGCCCTCATCAGAATACAGTCCTTTATTTTTCTCCTCATGAGAGCAAAGCCTCAAATTACACTTTATGCAGTACTTTTTCTCCTCTGGTTTGTGTTTTTAAGGAAGAGCAGCCTCTAAGGCCACGTGTGGGACCAGCAAAGTGGTAGGAGGAACTGCTTATCCTTTCCTTCCTCTTGCTCAACCCCTTCCCATCTGCTGATATGCATTGTCCTATCCTTCCTCCCAGGAACTGGCATGCATCATGGAGCTCTGATCATCTTGTCGTTTTAAAAAGTCACAGAATGTGGTTTCCTTAATGCAAAATGTTGTTTATTGTAAGCACAAAGTACACGCACAACCCTAGGTGTGAAAAAGAAAGCTGTGGGGTGCTCTGAAGCCTTGTCCAGCTCAGCCCTGTGGTGGCATTTGGCACTTTGCCCACAATGTTCTCTCCAATGTCTCCTCTCCAGTTATGAGGACTAGAAATATAAGGTCCCCAGTGCTGCCTGCACCTTTTTGTCCAAACCTGCATTTGAACCAAATACCCATAGACATGAAGTTACATTTATAATGTTGAGTCCCAAAATCTATGATTTTTCTCATCCTAGGGTTTGAAGACAGCCTCCCTTTTTTTCCCTGGGGGAAACGCCACCTACCAAGGGGAACAGGTGAACATCAAGCGAGTAGAAGGTTTCTTTCACAAGTATAACAATGTGACTGAGTGGAGGCAGAACATCGATCTTGTCATGAAGTGGTTCACCACGGACAATCTTGACTTTGTAGCCCTTTATTTTGGAGAGCCCGACTCCACAGGACACAAATATGGCCCAGAGTCTCAGCAGAGGAAAGAAATGGTTAGTCAAGTGGACCAGACAGTTGGTTACTTGAGGAAGAGCATCAGGGAGCATGGCATGAGCTCAGCACTGAATCTGATCATCACTTCTGACCACGGCATGGAAACAGTAATAAAAAAAGATGAAATTCACCTCCAGAAAGTGGCAAACTTCTCTTTTCGGGACATTCAGTTTGAGCTGGTAGATTATGGACCACAAGGGCTACTGGTGCCAAAACCAGGAAAACTAGAAGAAGTTTATGAGGCCCTGAAAAACGCTCACCCCAAGCTCCACGTCTATAAGAAAGAGGAATTCCCCAAGAGATTCCGTTATGCCAACAACCCCCGGATCACACCTCTTGTGTTGTACAGTGACCCTGGCTACGTCATCCATGGGGTATGATATGCTCTGTTATCTAAATCAGTCCCTCTGACTCCTCTCTTCTTGTTGTGGCTTTGGTCTTGTGTTGGGGACAAAGGAACCTACTGAACAGAGAGGACATTTATGCACCATCTCCCTTTGTCCATTCAGGCATAGCAATTGCATGTTTCTAATGACTTCTCCTGACTCTCTACCTCTTCTTGAATAGGCTTCTATTATGTGTAGAGGTGGAATTATCAGAACTGAGCAAATTCAAGCTGAGGGACCATGAGGAATCATGGGAGGGAAAAAGCAGTTTTGAAATCCAGTCTCCAAGCTCCAAAATCCCATACTCTCAGGGGCTTGAGCAGGTTAATT